TACAGGTACATGATAATAATAATATTATTATTATACTCGTATTATTATTATACATGAACCGTCCTACCGAACCTGACGAAGTGATGACGACCACCGTGCACCGTTCACCGAGTTCAATCGACCTCGGTTTTTCGACCTTAATATAATACAGCGGATGTGACGGTGCGGCGTGCGTGTCGTGTCGACGCGAAACGGGTACGCTCGCAAATCATTCGTATTGTATATCAATATAATACATATATATATGTATATTTTATATAATATTATAGTATAAAGGTACTTATAATATTTTATATTACCATTATACAGCAGACACTCGACACGATATACCCGGTGGTATACCGCCAGGCGTCGAAGTGGTATAACAATATTGTGTTCGTACATTTTTGTCGACGCACCGCAACGACGCCGATGTGAGAAACGTTTGTTTTTAAATTATGAAATTACGCGATATATGTATAGGTGCTTAATGGTTATTCGCAAGTTGTAACAGTACCAGGGGGTCTTCTGGGGACTGAGCCCCCCAAATGGAATTGCATGTACGTCCGTGAACCGTGTAAAAATAGTAATCAAAGTGAAGGCCACTTAACAACGCCTAGCCCTTCCCCCAGAAAAAAATCAACCAAATTTCCGGCCATGTAATTTACATGGGTTCCGATTCATTGGAACAAACGTTCGTTTGTCGTCTGTCCCTAAATTGCCAAACATCAAGATCAAACACGATAATCACACGTGTCACAATCATCATTATAATATTATTATTGTGGCTAGTGGCTACGGCGGCCGGCGGTGTATCAAAATATCGTGTGGCGAAAAAAAACCCAAACGCACGTTTGGCAGACGCGGAATGACGTAAACACGTGAAGTAATTACAATTGATCACGGAATACGGATTCCTATGCTATACTAGATAAGGAATTTGTGTCATCGTATGAATCTCGTTTCACCATTTTCTTGGCCAGAAATGATTTGTAAATAATATGACGTTTATCTAAGACATTTCAGTATGTCACCTAAACGCTAAATTGCTAGATAGGTTTGCAATTCGTTTACGTCCTGAAACATAGCGGATGCTGCTGAAGTGGTTGCCTACTGATTTTGTATTCGTGGTTTATTCAGATTTCCTAATCTAGTGTAGCGCAGAAATCCATGCAATTTACAACGGCGTCTACGCGAAAATCAATTATCATAGACATAACGTTTCGTCGGCCTCGGGTGACGTCACTGCAACAAGACTTTCGGCACAAACGAGGCTACCGCGGTCGCCGCAGCTAGCCCGAGTGCCCGGCACAAGACGGAGTGGTAGGCATATTATACAACGTCCGCCGTGTAATATTTTCGACAACACGGAGTGCAGCAATAAACTAATAAATAATAACGATAATACGTCTAACCACCGTCATTCGTGACTCGCATGTAGGTACCTGCAACCTGCCTAGTGCCTATTGCTTGCCTTCCTAGTTCTTACAACAATAACACCGTCTAGTGCGTGCACGCACTATTTTTATTATTATATAAATAAATAATGACGATTTCCCGGTAGGTATAATATATTACGAGAGTATTTAGACGTACTCCTCGTCGATATCGCTGTTATAAGTTTGTAACAATAACAATAATAATCGTAAAGTGCGTCGAGCATGACGTCAACGCTGAGGAGAAAAACAAAATTGCTAATCGAAAAAAATTTAATAAGAAAAATAAGGTGTGGGCATATCCGATATCGGGTGTAAGCACCTGTGCAAGCGCGCAAATGCTGCACATTAATATCGTTGATGAGAGAATTGAGAGTCCTCCACGGAGGTGTCTGTGCGGGAAAGCCGCGTGGAAAAATGCACCCCGATACGCGGGAGCGCAGCTGGCAAATGGGAATCGTCAATCGATATGAAAATACGGGAATTGCGCGGGGCCCCAGCGACTGCAGAGAAAACGCGAAAATAATATTATAACCCGTGGACATATTAATATTATCAGATACGGGACGAAATATACGAGCGGCCCCGGCCAGCTGCTCCTTGGTAGGCGGTGCTGCGGTGGTCAGGGGGGAGGGGGATTTACATCCGCGGGGCCTGTTGAGCGGGTAGCGGTCGCGGCGGCGGAGTCCTTTATAATATTATTATTATTATTACATCGTCATCTCGCGCAGTGTCTGGCGCGCGCGTGATCGCACGCACTCACTGGCACGCCGCCGAACACGCCCACCGACCGCGACCGCGACGGCCGCCGCCGACTGTCGCGCGCTCTCCCGTCGTGCGATCGCGAGTGCGGTGAACGCGAGCGCTTAGGAGTTCGGAGAGTGTGTCGTGTACTACTATTATTATTATTATTGTGCTGCACTGCATCGCGCGCGCTCTCACACAATAGCGGACGATGTGAGGGCAAGAAAGACGGGGAAAAAAAAATACAAACGAAAAGCAATTTTTTCGTTCAAATTTTTTTTCCCTTCACTTCCCGTCACCGCCGCCACAGCCGCTCGTTTAGTGTGCGTGTGCGTGTGTGTGTACGTGCGTGTGCTTGTGGAAAACTGCCGCCGCCGCGCTTTCGTCTGGGGGGGCCCCTATCGCATAAGGAAACGCGACGACCGACGACAACTACAGCACAACACACTACCCCGAAAGAGCCACCGATCATCGTCTCTGCAGGCAACTGTGGCACAGCGAGGACGTGCCTGTCGATCATTTGCCCGGCCACAGACATCCACCTTAGTGTCGATCCGTTCTGGTCGTCTCACCTTCACCTCATCCTGGCGACTTCACCACCTACCAGCCGGACGTCCTGTCCAGCTAACTCCCTACCATAGCAGTCATCTTCGTATCCACCACCGTCTGCAGTCCGATATTTCGTTTTGAAATGCCATAGTCGCCGGACTGCCATCGCGTTCTCTGCGACGCACTGCCAAAGCCGGCCTTGTTGCTCTAATTTACACCGTCATTTTCGGTGAGTGTTCTTTAGATGTACGGTCGTATAGGTCAACGTATACATTATAGTTCTGTCATTCCTAACTCAAATAATATGTTGTAATCAGTTTTTATGGATTTGTTCTTACGTCAACTTTAAAGCACAACTTTTGATTAAATTTCAGTAATACTTTTTCTGTTAAACTGAAGAATATTTAATGATATTTAAATAGATATTGGTAGTTGTTATAAAACAATTTGTTTTGAATTCTTAAATTCTATTAATATTGATCAATTCATGGTCATCTAAGTTTATTTTGAAGTTTTTTGTGTACTTATTACCCATTAAAGTAATAACATAATGGCTCACATTTTTTAAAAATGTGTATCCTAAACAAGTTTAATATTTTTTTTTTATTATTTTTTCAATAATTATAGGTAGATAGTATTAAGTAAATAGGTGGGTGGGTACCTATGTACTTAAATAAGAAATAACTTGTTTCAGTTAGGTTATGTTATACTTGTATATTATATTAATACAAAAATTGAAGTATGAATTAAAAATATTTTGGATGTTGGGTACCTATAAAGATTGACCTGATAGGTATCTAGAATTATTCATTAAAAGTAAAAATATCTAGGTAGGTACCGTATACTTTTAAATTAAATTGCTTAGTAAATATTTAATTATGTAGATAGGTACCTAAAGCTTATCAGTTTATAAAGATAATATTACATGCTTATTCCTACTAAATTTTTTCTATTTATTTTCAATTATTTACAAGCTGTCTGCTTAATTAATTAGAAAAATTTGTAAAAACTATTCATAGTTATATTTACTTAAGTTTTTCCCAATCAGTTCTAAAATCTACTTAGGTATTCTTATTTGTCAATAAACCTTGTGTGAGATAGGTAGTTGGTAAAGGCACATAACATTATTTTGTATCATAACTAGTAATTTTTACATCATTATTTTTTTTGTTTATTATCTTATTTCAATACCTACCTACCTACCTATTTAAATTTCAATTTGTGATATTTATATAGGTGCTTAATTATACATTTAAATTTGTTAAAATTAGAGATAAGAAATTGTTATCATGTATTCTGAGTTCAAGAGTATTAACTACCATTACGTATATATAACCCTATGTAAGTATTGATTCTGATCAATTATTATCAGTGTATATTGTAGATATTTTATGGGTTATTTAGACCTGAATATTATATATAATTTAATAAATATAATACCTACCTATGTTGTTTATGTCACGTATACACTCTCTTGTATATAACATATTAAAAGTATCAGAATTCATTTTCCTTCAAATACTTTTTGTCAATATTACACAGTTTAATAGGTATGTATGAGTTTATGTCATAAATTTTGTATTGCCTAATTAAATGGAGGAATACATTTTTTTTTAAAAACCTGAAAGTAGGTATCTGCCCGTTACCAATACTTAATAACTAGTATTAGGCACTTGCCTACCAAATTTTTAAATTTTTTTTTTATTTTTAAAATTAAACAATAGGATCAAAATCTATATATTAAAATTATATCTGTCGATTGAAATAATATTAAATGTCAGTGAAGATTTTTTTGTTGGAAATACCTACAAGATATTTTTTTAGTTAAATATATGGTCCTAAATATTAAACAATGATGTATGATGTACTTTTTGATAGGTACCTACATGGTTTAACTATAAGCATAGGTACTTATGGATTGTAAACTTTCACTATAATCTTATTTATTTACTGAACTTTATAAATGTTTTTTTGATATTCAGCAAATGCAAAATTGTATATGGTTTTATTATAAAACATAAATTGTTGTAATGGAATTGTAGATCTTCATTAATTTCTTAACAAAATGTATGTGTTGATTTAAAAATATATTAATCTATTTTGACAAATTATGTAAATAAGATGAATAAATATTTTTATTATTTTTATTTATAATTTCCAGGTGCAGTAAGATTTTATCTTATTTTCAATAACATATCTGTAAAAACCAAATCATTTGCCTATAATATGGCTATGGTAACATTCATGAATCTTCAACTTTTTGTGTATGTATAATACAAAGAGTAATTAACAATGGCTAGTAGAAAATCTTGGAAAGGACAACTGTCGCTGAAGGAGTCTGAACATCGTCGGTATTCAGATTCAGAAGAACACAAGAGTAAAGCATCAGCATCAAATAATTCAGGTAAGACTTAAGATTGTATTAAAATAATTTTTGAATTTTAAATTAAATACATTTTATTATAAATTTGCTTGAAAATTCATATATTAAATGCTATTTTATAAGTTTTGTTTTTATTATCAATATTAAATATTTGTATTCAGCAAAAAAATATTGTACTATTAAGGTTTACCTATTACTCCATTTTTTATTGATTACAAATATTATTTTCTTTTAAAATATAATTACTATCTTTGCAAACTCTCAGTAAGTAAAAAACTTTTATTTTACCAGTGTATTTCTTACAAAATGTATATTATTTAAAATTATTGAAATATTTAAAGTTGGTATACAAGCGCGTGCCCGTAGGATAAAGTTCCATCCGAGGAAAGAAATAAGAGTTACTTACAATTTAATAATAGTTATAGTGATATTAATATTAAAATACATGCAGTTAAACTTTTTAAGGGGGTCGATGGCTCCTTTGGACTTCACTCCTAAGTTAGGTTAGTTTTTATATGTCTCGATCAAGTCCTGATCAAAATAAAGTATATATACTACAATGTTATAACTATTTAGTAATAAAATGTTAACAATTGTAAATAATTTTTTCTTTAAATATAATTTGAACGTAATAATAAGTACACAGGGTGGGGCACTAAAACAGCCGATTTTCAAAGATAAATTATAATATAAACCGGCCGTTTCAGTGCCCCACTCTGTACTATAATATTGATGTGTTAAAAACATAAAAATAGAAAATAAAAAATACATACAATTATTTATAAACAAATAGGTATTTGCTAAATTAATTAAAAACAATTTTAGAAACTTTACCAAGTTTAATATAGGATCATTTGTAGTAAAATATACCAATAATTATAAAATCCAAAACTATGTAGGATTTATTTCTTTCAAAGTGGGTTTCTGCAGTAATTTAAATGAATTAGTTGAGGAAGTTATAGATATCAGCAGGATAGGATTTTATACAGTGTTTAGTATATCCAAAAACTGATCTATAACAAGTATTTTATTTTCCTAATTTTATTTTGTACTTTTTAAAATGTAATCTTTGTAAATACAATGTTTCCAGTTTTAAGTTATATAGTCTTCAGTTCCGTATATCAATAAGGGCCTGTAAAAACTTGTTAAGAATTATTTACTGACCCAAATACTGTTTTCTTAAAAATAAAAAAAAAACATTTAAGAATTTACCGAAGTTGGTTTGTAATTTATTAGACCGTTCAAATTTCTAAATAATTAAAGTTGTAACAAATTGTAACTGTTTTTACATGAAACTAAAAGCACATGATTTTTAAGTGAATAACATAAAGATTATTTTGCTTGGAATTAAAAATATTAGGTTTTTTGACTAATTGCTATGTATTGTTTTAAATATGTATACTTGTATAAAAAGTTTTCTTGTAAAAATATACCACAAGACAATTTTTCTTCTCATAGTAGCTTGTTTGAAAATATCTATATTAAGTTCATAAATTTGACAACTTTATTGAACTATAGTATAAAATTAAGGAATTTATGTGATTATTAGATTTATGGTATGTTAGTTAGTAGTTAAGTGTAATTAATATATTAAATAAAATCTATAGTTATGTCAGTAGTATTCCATTATCCTATCAGTTGTAAAATATAGGTGTAACCAATTTGAAATTTGAAATGTTAACATTTTAATTGAATAAATACAAAAAATCAAGGTAACATTACAAAAAAAAGAAAGGTTTTAGTGATTGTAATCATGATATTATAGTCATTATGGGGAAAGGTACTATTGATAATAGTTATTCACAATCATGGTTTCATTATCTCAGGGTCGTATGAATTACAGGGTAACAGGAAATTTGTAAGGGATAATCTTATGGTAGAAGGGGGTTTAGAGATAAGTATTCTTTATAAGGGTGTTATAAATATTCAACAGACTGTGGTCATTTTCAATACGTATCCATATGTATAATATAAATGTATATTCCATATTAGTGAGATAGTTTAATTTAGGTGATTATAACTTTATTATAAATTTTCCATAATTACAACAAAGTTATTATTGTAATATTTAAAAATCAACCATATTTTATTTAAATATATGATGTTATTTAAATACTGCATTTAAAAATAGTGGGAGTAATATAATAGTTGTATGTAATAAGTTTGCCTATTATTTTGTTATGTTAAATTTGAATGACCTTCAGTAGATACTATTATACTTTTATTTAATTATATGTCTTTATTATTATAATATTTTTGATTCATAGTCTCATAGGCTCATGTGCTTGTATTACAATGTAGTTTGAGTAATGAGCTTAAAGAAATTGTAGTTTTATGGAACAATGCCAATTTGATTTTGATGTCCCTTATTTAAAAATTGTATACATTTTCATGTGGGTAGTGGTAACTAGTGACTTAGGGTGCAGAATATTATAAAAATATAAGTCATTTTAGTAGTACATAACATTCTATTAACATATTTTTAAGCATTAAATAGGAAACTATATTATATTATGTTTTAAAATAAGAGCCTAATATTAAACATAATATAAAGAGTTTAGTGTGAATCAATCTACATACAATGACCTTGATCTAAAAACAATATTTATACAACAAAAGTGGTTTATAAACTTATAACATTTTGAAGAAATACTTTAGAAAAGAATTAAATCAAATTTATATTTTGTTAAATTATAACAATATATTTTATGAAACAAAAATTTAATTTGTAATTCTTCAATATTGTTATATTATGTTTATAATTTACATTATTATTTAATTGTATCAGTTGCTTTACTTTTGTAAATTATCTTATATCATTATTATCATCCATTACCTATATAAATTAAAATCTAATGGTTCCAATGTACTCTAAATAATTTTAAATGTATACTATGAATATTAAAATTATTTTTGATTTTATTTATTATAAAATTAGTGTATAAAAATTTAACTTATTATCAAATTAATAACTTAAATCATTTTTAATTTATTTAGTATGAATATTGACTATTTTATAGCTTTTAATAAATTATTTTATCAAGAATAATGTACAATTGAATAATATATTAAAACATAAATAGAATTCCCATTTGATAGATAAAAGTACATCTAATAGATACAGAGTTGATATTTAACATCTTTTTACCTTGTAATGCTATACATTTTTTTAAAAAAGTATTTTAATTAAATAATAATTATGTAAATATTTGGTACTGTACGTACCGCTAAAACCCTAAAAAATATAAACTAAATTTATATTGTATTAATTTTACAATCATATATTGGTTAATCTTTAAATTTTTTAGAATTGTTCATAAATCATTTAAATTTTTTTATTATTTTTGATTTCTTTATTAAATTTAATTCCATCCAAAGTTATTAGCGCCAGAAATATTTATAATTATAGTATAGTTTGTTGACTTCGTATATTAAAATCTATATTTAACCTTTGCTAATAATTATCAGTTTTTAACCTGTTTGAATCTTACCAGATTCACAGATTTAGTCTTATTATTTTTTATAGATTGTATGTTCTTTTGATTAAGCTTTACTGTTTATGAAATATGTGCATCATATGTTATCAATTTGTAATCAATAAACCTAATTATTATTTAATAATGAATTACTTTCTGTAGTGATATTTTAATCTTCAATTTTATATTCATTATATATACTTACTGCAATTAAATTATTAATTGAGTCAGCTGTTGATATGACTATGTATTTACTATATATTTTTCAGTTTATTATGTAATAATTTTAAATATTCAGTCACAATTTATTATTATTAATGATCAAATTTATGTAAGTGTTTATAACTGCCTATTCAAAATTATTATAATTCTATAGCACTAATTCCCCTAAAATCCATAGTTAAATTATTTATATTATTTGAGGTAATAAATTAGGTAAGTATACAGTTTATTAATTTTCCTATCAAAATCAGATTTATCTTTAGATTCATATCAGTCTCACAGTTTTACTGTCATTGGTGTTACTAAATTGTTTTTTTTTTTTAAATCAAATATTCCCAACAAACAATGATTTTTATAATTTTCAAAAGCTTTAAATACTAACCAGGAAATTTATATTTTTATTACTAATAAATCCAAAGTTTTTAGCTCTTAATGTATTTAATTTTTTAGAAAACAATTTTAAAATATTTATTTGAATATTACATAATATACCTACTATAGTGTTCCTTCTTTGAATTATATATTAGACACCTTAATTTTTTAAACAATAACAGGTGTATATTATTATTCTTATATTAATTTATCAAATGTTTTGTTACCATGTGTACTATAAACATTTTACTGAACTTGTAGTATAAGGTGGATTAATATTCAATGTTTATAATACATATGTATACATGTACTAATTACTATTATTATCAGTTATAAATGCATTTTTTTTATTGATAGTATTGTTAAAATATAATTATGTTCAGGACAGTCACATCTTATCTATTTTATTTGAATTAAGATAACACAATAAATTTACGAATATGCAAATGAATATCATAACTAATTTAGATTTAGTTTTCACCAGTTGTTTGCTAAATAAGACTGTAGTATAAATGTATTTAAAAACAGAATTCAGGGTTGTAATATTTTTTAATCAGAAAAAAATCTTTAATCATGTTAACTTAAACTAGAATAATTAGTAGGTGTAGTCTGGCTCATAATAAAATGATAATTCTATATTATTGCATATTAAAACATTTTTGAAACAAAACCTCACCTATATATTATCACATCATGATAATACATTTTTATAAATTATATTAATAATTAAATAACAGATGATTGGTTCTTTACATTTTTGTTAACCATTCAATTAATCAATTTGTATGCAACATAGTATTTTGCGCAAATATTGTCAACACAATATAAACTCATTTTAGAATTGTTTGGTTATTTTATATTTGAAAATATTTTGTAAAACAAATATTGTTGTTTACACTTTTATAAAATAAAAAATAAAGTTTTACTAGACTGCTGTAGATTAATGTAGGT